CTTTTTATAAAAGTAATTCATCAACATTTATTGAAATTTTAACATTAACAACAATAAAATCTGTATAATTTTAAAACTAGAGATATAATAATAATTTATTATCAAACTTGATTATATTGAAAGAGTATGAAAAACTATGTTTAATTCTCATTATTGTTTGTTACTGTTTTGACAATAGTCAAAAGTGAAAGAATTAACAAACTGTGGTTTATCATATCTACTGTGGAAATGTACTTATAAAATTGTTTAGAAAATACATTAAAAAGAGACACCAGCAGTATATAGGATGCAAACTTTTAGTTGTAAATGACAGTGTATATGTAGAAATGTGAAAACAGATAGATGGCCTATATGTCATCAACTTAAATTTGGCTATGATATATATATATATATATATATATATATATATATATATATATATATAAAGTTTATCCATATTTTAAAAAGGAAGTGAAATTTTTCTAAGGTCCCTCAAAATGTTATACTAAATTGAGTATTTTATGTATGTGGAAACTACCATTCTGATCTTTCCCTTAAAGAAGATATCAATGTAATTAAAATAATTTTACTCTCTATTCTCCTTAATTTGTAGATTTAGACATTTATTCATTAACACATTGTACTGAAAATTGAGTGAAGACAGTCTAGACCAGAAGCAGCCTGATGGTTTCTCTGTATTATGAGCCAGTTTTAAAGTAATGAAAACAAACTATTCTCTTGAATTCATGGCCATTAAAAAATGCTAATATTCATGCCCTGATAAAAGAGGAAAATTTTCTTTGAACAATTTGTTTGCTATGTTCTATGCATAGGTTACTAGCCTATGATAAATCCAAAGAAAACCCAAAATTATCCTTCTATGCTGAGCAGATGAAGTTCATGACCACCTTGCAGGCACATTAACACCACCCTCAAAATTGGAATAGCAGTGGCAAATACGAGCTCATCTTTGGTCATTGTAGATCTCATGAAGAATGCTGGTGTGGAGAAAGAGAAAAAGGGGAGAAATGCAGGGGAGAAAGAGAAAAAGAGAAAGTTTACCATTTTAGCTTGTGTTTTTATATATATTAATGTTTGATATTACAGAAGAAATAGTTGTAATTTCTCTACTGTCTCTTAGATAAAATTTTAAAAAATGAAAAGTAAGGGCATGAGATAAGTGTTCTCATAAACATTCTCTAAGTCAAAGACATATGAGTTAACCATGTCATTAATTATTATTTTTTGCTCAGAATATATATATATATATTATATA